GTATGTATGTATGTATGTATGTATGTATGTATGTATGTATGTATGTATGTATGTATGTATGCATGCATGCATGCATGCATGCATGCATGCGCATGCATGCATGCATGCGCATGTATGTATGTATGTACTCCGTTCCAGAATATTTGTGCAATTTTGACTTTTTTGTAGTCAACCAGAATAGACCTTTGACCAATAATTAAATAAAAATTACATGGTATATTAATTTGATAAAATAATATTTTGAAATATTTTGCTAGATAAATCTAATAAAAATATTCTTATGTCAGTCCCTAATATAAATTTTATTTAGTTATTGGTCAAAGTTTATTAATTTTTACTCCAAAAAGTCAAATCATGACAAATACTCTTGGATGGAGGTGGTATATATTAATGGAACACAAAGTTTTATTTCAAAATACGAAGATGGGGTACAAGGGTGTCAAGAGTTAACGTATTCCGGGAGGGAGTAATCAAAATGATAAATAGTACAATGAGGTAAAGTTGAGCCAATGTTTGCAAGCCCATTTGCTACGCCATTAACCTCGCAAAGGCAATGCGCAGTCAAAGGTTGTGATGATAGGAATACTCCATGATGATCGAGGAAGCTTTGCTTTTCAGCGTGCAATCCGAAACGGTTTGAAGGAGGTTGGTACAGTCTGTTCCCACAGTAATGTTGAAGTCCTTGACAGAGTAGAGGGCCTGCACCATGGCAAGGATTTTGGTCTGTAGTGGGTTGCCTTTAGGGAATGGGTAAGCAGCAGCTAGCACCAAGTTACCGTAACGGTATCAAAGTACGAATCCTCTACCACACCCATGGTTTCCAGTGCTACCATTGACGTTAAGTTTAAGAGTGTATGTCTGGCGGTATCCACCAATTGGAGACTGTCTGATGGATGTGAGGGCTGACATTTTGCTCGTTGAAGGGGATGTCTGAGTAAGTGTGTTGGGTGTACGCCTTCCAGAGAGACCAAGTAATGATAGAGGAGATTTACCAATGCATCAAATTGTTTGAGAATGAGGAATCCATTATGAGGGGTCCTTGCAGAAGCCTAGTGAACTGATTCCATATGCTGGCAGATTTGGTGCACAGCATGAGCACGTGGTCATCCATAGAGTCAACCTTCCCACAAAAGGGGCAGAGAGATGGAAGGTTGAAACCCATCCGAGCAAGAGGGGAAATGAAATGAAGGGTTTTACAGAGATGTAGGTCTGCTTGATGTTGAAACACAGGTCTGTAGCCAGATTTCAAGAAATGGTATCTTCCATAGTAAAGTGTACGACACAAAATTCATGTGAGCAGGTACATTTCCAGATCAGGAAGTCAATTATTTTAGATGTGAAGGTCCCATCCCTGTAATAAACCCGTCTCATATAGTCCGCCCAAGGAAATGTGCTCGCCATTGGTTTCCACCAGAGCTTGCAACCATATTCACGCTGCAGGTCATTCAGGTCCTGTACGCCTAGACCACTTTCCAGCATGGAGAAGTGGAAGCTTGCTTCAGATGTCCGATGCGACAAGCGAATATCAACAAAGCCAAAAGAGAAGGCTTACGAGACTATTGACTACTCATGTTGTATGGAGCAGAGTGGGTTCACGTTCGGAAACTCTGAGCGGTTGAGACGAAGATGCTGAGATACATGTGTGGTCGAGGATGTATAATGTTTGGAACGAAAGTGCGAGTGCTCTAGTGATTTTTGCATACACTCACCCTCCTTAGATCCACTGGGATTTTGCAGGGTTTGTAGTTGTATGTGTATCAGATTATACCTATCTATTTTCCAAGTATTTTAAAAGGTTTTTTTGTAGAGCAGTGATTCACATAGTCTTCAGAGATTGATTTTGTATTTTCAGTTTCAAGCTCTTTGGGTGCTCCAGTGATTTTTGCATACACTCACCCTCCTTGGATCCACTGGGATTTTGCAGGGTTTGTAGTTGTATGCATAGTTGTCACGGGGCCATGGCGAGGCACGGCGCTAGACGACTAGGTGACCGCCTCGGCGATAATTAGGCGACCTAGGTGGTAACACATAAGAAATCCGGATTGGTACACATTAGTATGACTAAGTCACACTAGTATAAATATGAGCATACATGTTTTCTAATTCTAATCAAAATTTCAAATATACATACTTAAAAAAATATAAACACACCATAAAATGAAAAGAAAAAAGAATATGAGATACGAGATATGATTAAAAACAATATGCGACTTCTTAGTGCAAAGTAAATACTGAGTATGAAAAGCGTCACTGGCTAAAAGGCATAAAAGATTTTTAAAAGGCGCTGCCTGGATGCCTAGGCGAGGCAAGCCAAGGCCGAGACGTTGCCTAGGCGAGGGATTCAAAAAAAGGCAAGGCGATACACCAGGCGAGAGGAGCACAGCGCGTGGGCGCCTAGGCGACGCCTTGACAACTATGGTTGTATGTGTATTTTCCAAGTACTTTAAAAAGATTTTTCTAGAGTTGTGATTCACAGTCTTTAGAGATTGATTTCATATTTTCAGTTTCATGCTCTTTACCCACTAAAGAAAATCTGGTTTGGAGATCACAGTCTTTTGGAGTATTTCTACGCTGTAAGAGTAGCTAGCCTGCTAGAAACCTACTAGAATTAATTCAGGATCTAAACTAAGACTAAATAAAACTCCCCCTTTCTTCTCTCTATAAATATCTCACTGATGAAAAAGGAATAGAAGCCAAGAGAATCTCAATGTGATTAATGGTTTTTTCTGGATATCTCAGCAATAGAGAAGCTGGGATATTTATAACAACTCTAACAAACTGATAAGATCAAAAATAACAAACTGATCTGATAAGATCAAAACTGTTATACTCGAGACCCGGGGTCTTATCACGTTGCTATTTTAGAGAAGGAATTATGGGGAGGTGAGGGGGAAATGGGGTGGCTGAAATATTATGGGGCAAAAGGGGAGTTCTTTTGGTGTTTTTTAATGAAGAAAAAGAATGAGATTAAGAGGAGAAATGGGGGGATATGAAAAGGAAGAAAATTCAGGGATGGATAAACCAAGTTGGTGTTTAAGAGATATTACACACTCTTATCCTAACTTGGGGTTTGAATCTAGAATTTAATTAAGATATGACACACTTAATTAAATATCTAGAACCTAAAACTCACACTTAAGATAACCACTCTTAAGATATAGAATTAGGGATTTGGCTAAAATAGCATCACACTATTTTATAAATACTCAAAGAGTAAAAGGAGTTTTTAATAATTCAGAGATAATCATTACAAGGGCCAAATGGCCGAAATATATAAGGAGGGGAGAGGAGGGAAACACACAATATAATGAATGCAAATACAAGGAACCTTCCTACATCCCTTTATCATTCACTAGCTTCCAATCTTGAGTTGATAAGGGCTGATTTTGTTTGACTTTGTCTTGGCTTTGGAGCTGGCTTTGTCTGTCCTGTTGTGGAGGCAAAAATCACAAAGAATGAATGAAATCCTTTGATGATTGTGGTTGATATTCTGGCTAAAAAGAGGGGACAAACAA